CACCGCTGGCGAGGATCCATTGAAGACTGCCGCTCCTACTGGTCGACACCCGTGGACACGGACCATGATCTGCTGCAAAGGAGGTTCTCCTTACGCCTAGTAAACAACTACCGAAAAGCCACAAAAAACGGATGCCCACAATACTGAGTCAGCAATGTTTGCAAATCGGCCTTCGAAGCGGAACTACCTGATCGCCTTTCAGCTCAACTCTCAGTCGATGGACTCAGTGAGCATTAGTCGGCGATCGAGGAAGCGATCCAGATGTTATCCAAAAAATCGGCGGATCCTGACTCACGAACAAACCAAAAACGATGGACCTCCTAGACCTCGGTTGCCCTTCTGGACGCTGGCAAAGCCATTTCGTCTGATATAAAATACAGTAAAGGGCGCGAATTCCTTAAACAGTAGCTCATCACGAATCTGAGGAATGACCACGAGAAATGGTGGCTAGGAAAGTGCATAGAGATGACGAAGGCTGCGGCTATCGGTAATACTCACAATGGTTTTCGTTTAGTTAGTAGTATGGGCCCCAGGAAAGTAGGCGTAAGTGAGGTAATTAAGAAGTCTGACGACACATTGCTTCATCATCAGAAACGCCCACTTGAAAGTTGGGCAGAGCATTTTAAGGCACACTTCAGCTGGCCCCTGTCGACATAAGATCTCCCTATACATACTTGAACTGGTCAAATGCTGCCAGTTGATATCAGTCCTCCATCGGAAAAGGAAGTTACCCGTAAAGTAAATTACCTCAAAAGGTATAAGGCCTCCGGCCCGGAACGGGCTATCTTCATCGGCTTTTAAAGATGGAGGTTCAGCTTTGGTTTTGGATTTATCGAAACTCCTGGGCTCACTGTGGTACACGGAACAGGTTCCAACTGAGTGGTGTGAATCGGTGATCATATCGGTAAAGGTAACAGGTCCTCTTGTGAAAACCACAGAAGAATTAGTTTATTCAACACCATTTCTAAACTTCTCACGGGCATCATACTCCGTCGATTGCCCACCGCACGTGAAGAGTGCACGCTTGAGAACCAGGCTGCTTTTTGACCGGGTCGAGGTTGTTTCTTTACTCTTCGCCAAACTCTGGGGCACCGACATTCTTTTCGTAGACCCCTCATCTCTATCTTCCTGGATCTGAAAGCGGCTTTCGACTCAGTCGACCGCTCCAAACTCTGGCTCTGCCTTTCCTGAAGGGTGTCCGTAAGTCTATTTGAAAATTACAATCCCTTCACACTAACAGCCAAAACAGAGTCCGTGCTGAAGGCACTTTTTTCACCCGAGTCCACTGCAGAAAGTAGTGTTTGTCAGGGTTGTCCTCTCTCTGTTTCTATTTAACTTTGTCATAGATTTAATTCTTGAAACAGTCCTATCCTCGTGCAAGGATAACGTATCTATTTACTCCCGGGTGGCAGCCTGCCTAATCTAGGGTATGCAGACGAAATCATGCTACTAGGTGAAGATACAGGTAAGTTGGACGCTTTTGTGGATAGTTTAAATGCGAGTGTAGCAGTGTTCAGTATGCATTTTGCACCTTCAAAGTGCAAAATGTTACTACAAGATTGGTTTGTTCTAGTCCAGTTACAATAGCAAAATTTTGCTATCTGGGCAGCTATATTCCACTTGGCTGACGTATCACTGATGAAGGGTCGGCACGTACACAGAGGGCTTGGTTAGCATTTGTAAACTTGAGACATCTGTGGCGCAGTCGCACCTTTCGGTTCTCCATGAAGAGTCAAGTGTATGTTGCAGCAGTTAGGCCAGTTCTGCCGTACGGTACCTACACTTGACCATTACGAGAACAGGATTAAGATAGACTGTCGGTGTTCGAACACCATTATCTACGTCGCACTGCACAAGTCTGGTGGGGAAACCGGACGAAAAATGCTGAGGTTAAGTGTAGAGTTTTAGGTTATCGCGATCGTCCACTGGAGCAATTGGTTGACCTCCATAGATTACACTGGTTATGAATTCTCTATCTTCCCTTTGACTCTTCTCTCAGCATTCCAATCTCCATTCTGCTCTTTTATCCAAATGGGCGGTCAAAAGGCAGCAACCAACATCATCGCACGAAACTGTATGGTTAATTGTTGTAAAAACTGAAACTGGAGTTAACATACACGTTGCGTACATGTCAACGTCTCACGTAAATTGCGGAGAACTAGCGATCTCTGAAAAATAGTAGAAATTATCCTTATTCCTTCGTACAATTATTCGCACCACACGCCTGTTGTTGGGCAAACGTTATGCAAATCACCACTCAGCGTTCTTGCTACATTCGATAGAGGTCTAAGATAACAAGGATCAAGATTGATTTGTTTTGTGTCATACTAGTCCATGTGTACTGTAAAGAGAAGTACAATTCATGCTAATCCCTACATCTGGACCGGGACTCATTAACCGCTAGTAAACACATTGGATCGTTTCCTCTTTTGTTATCACCCATGCCATTTGAATATTGTTTTGCGCTTATCCGGTTTTAGGAGATCGTCAAAGGTGTACAATTGGAAAATCTAGTTCTGGTGAGTACTTAATGTTGGATATTGCTTTGTTCAAATTCGTGTCTCCTATGTTCATTCAACTCATCTCAACGAACAGGAGGCAAAATAAATGCAAATTGTGGACGTACTGTCTGTGAAATATCGGCTTTAGTGACCGGTTATTTCTGAATAAGTTTCAGAGGGCTTATGGCGTTTTTCTCTTGTACACTCAAACTGAGAAAAAGCATCCTTTGTTCGAGAAAGAAATTCCAGCTTACAGTGCACAGCTCATAAATTGCAGATCTACATCTTCCATTTCGCTTAAGACATGGATGCGGAAACACCGTGGCCCAAGAGATTGTTGATGTGACATTAAGTTGTGTTGTCTAATTTTGAAAATTATTTTTAGCAAACAGTCTCTACTTGCTCTTGTTTATTTCGAATATTTCAATGAGTCTGCGTTTTGAAATAGAACCCGTTTATTTGTTTGTTTTTACTTTTGCAGTAATGGTAGTCTCAAGGTTGAGCTGAGACTTAGGGTCAAAGTTTAATCATAATGTTTCGCTTTGAAAGCACATACATAATAAAGCACGGTCAAACTTAGGATATATGGAAATAAGCGCCTTCTCCTATTTCATTCTCATGCAGGTATAATGCGATTTATTTAAGGGAATATTTACAAACCGAGGAAATAAATACAGTTAATCGAACAATTAGTGATTCAGTCGAGTCAAACAAGGTGGATGAGTATGTAGTGTCAACTGCTTTTGTGATAATATGTGCACGTTACTCGTGGATAGGTAGTGTATATAATGCTCACCAGAACCGATAGCCCGAGTTTGATAATCAGGTATTGTCTGTGCGACTTCATGAACGGAAATAGCATGTTATCACCCAAGGTGTCAGCAGAGATCATTTCTACTTATTTTGATGGAAGATCACGAGGATGCAGTACACATGCTCCACAGTCTGGAAGCGTAGAATCTTACCTTGACCGAAACACCCAAAACCTGGATCATAAACGCTTGCAAATTCTCTTGTGTAAGGGAGCACGAGAATCCTGATTCTTTTGTCTGAATAATATTATCTGCTATTTTGCTCTATTCCCCTCAATGCTGACCGACGAATTAATCAAGGTGTCCATTTTATTGATGAATCTCACGCAAAACCTTTAATTCTGTGCCAACAGTATCATTCAAATTGAGCCATCCTTCTCTCGAAACTCAGTATCTCATCAAATTTCGCTTATTTTTCTCGATACAGAGCGTTGGAATTTCATTTAATTCAGGTCGACTTTCTGTTTACATTATACTTAAAAGAGTAGTCTAACTGCTTTGGTAATTCAATACAGAAGAATAATAGTCGGGTGTTACCCTTTGTTGCGTGGGCCAAATCGGTGAAAATTTTCAATATTCCCTCATATCAGCATCATGGCCGTCGATGAAGAAAACATCATCTATCTATCAGTTTTAACAGCTAAAAGCACTCATGGCTATTTGCAATACCATTAGAAATGGCCTAAAGGGTAGCTTAGAGGAACACCATCTCTCTATCAATAGTTAGAACTAATAAAAAGCGATTGTACATTTTTTTTATATAACTTAAGAAGAATTCAGCTCAGCGCAACTGACATTTGTCCATATTCGGTGAATAACTAAACGCGCAGTTAGCGTTCACGACTTTGACCACTGGGAATTTAATTAACACGATGGTTCAATCCAATGATATTGTTTCTTTTGTGACATTTTTATCCAAAACTGCTTCGAAACCTTGAATACTATCATACGAAGTATGTCGAACAAACCTTTTTCTTGTGAATTTCAGGTTTTTCTCCTACCAGCCCATCTGTCTTTTGGTGAGCAGACTTAACCAAACAAGATGAAGGAGGAAACTGAGTTTGAGGATCTTTGCTAGTCTGTACGGAAGAGGTGTTGTCAATTGTACGAATAGGTTGAACACGTCGAGGGTCTCACCTTTTCAGGACTGTAGTCATTCCTTAGACCTGTTCTTTATACACTTCTCGTCATTCATCATGACAGACTGCTTTATCACACCACTCTTTGCTCAATTTCAGACTGAAGAAGGGCAAATAAGAAAGAAATTTCATGAGATTTGCGATTGTCAAAAACAAGCAATTCATGCCTATCAATTACAAGAATTGCTTACATTCAGCACCCTGACGAGTGAGTTCGAAGGTTAATTGGTGTTACTTGACATGGTATACTGCATTTTTGCTAGGCTTATTTGCATACAATGCGAACTGAAAAGTTAGATAGAATTATTCTTTGCTATACCGTTATAGACCAAAGCAGACACATTCATTTATTTGATTTTGTGTTGTTTAGCATACATCAACATTTGTGGTGGTGTCACTGCCCCAGCGATATATACATATATCGTAATATACTTCAATATTGTGGACTGCGTTTATGCTGCTTACCTCATAAATCTTTGTACGTACTGAGAATGACATGTTGGGAGGTAACTTTTTTAATCTCGTAATTCATTCCAATTCAAGCAGCTCTCGCGCTCTACATGGGATGGTTTAGATAGAAAGAGCTCAAGTGAATTCGTTAATGTTCCTCAATTGACTATATCTGCCAATGCATTACTGTTTCGCTCATTTTGCAGACAACATTCCCGGATTCAAAACCTTCTCCATCGAATGTTGTCGTTCTATGGTGACGGCAATGGATGTATCCTTTGACAAAATAAGTTCACCCAGTCACCCAGGCTTTCCGATTTACCTTTCTATTCTAAACAGCTCAAGCAAACATAAGTACTGTGACAGAAGTGTATAGCTTTCAACAGTTCTGAATACACGCGTCCTATTTTAGAAAGATCGAGACGGTTGACTGGCTTTCGCTGCAAGCTTCGACATGATTCCAACTGGGTTCATGAGATGCGCATTATCGGTTTTAGCTGACAAAAGTCAAATATATTGCGCGAATGTATTTGAAAGTCACCAATTCTCCTACATATTTCCTTGCATCACCACCAAAATAATAAACTTATGAACACTTGTCATTAACATTATATATTGCATAAAACGAACTGAAAACAAAAGAAAAACTCAAAGATTCCAGAAGTTCCTACCCTAATTCTGCCCATTCTTTAACACTGGCTTTCTACATTTATGCCTTGACTTCTTCCCCCAAACATTTTATGTTATGGCTGTAGAATGGTCAGTTCAGTAGTTGACTGTTGTTGTGAGACAGCTGTGCTGTCGCGAAGTATGTAATGTGAGTGGGTTCATTCCTTTGATGAGAAACTTAATGCTCTGACTCTATCTCTGTAGAGAATCGAAATGGAATAATTATTCCGTGGTCTCAAATAAGTTTCAACATTAATTCTTCTGGTTGGTATGAATAATTAATTTCGTCCAGCCACATCAATGAATACATATACCACCATTGAAAATTCTTCGATATATTGTATTCGTTCCGCTTTCTGATCATCTTGCCCGTAACAGGCGAAACCATCCGAAGCGTCCAGATTGAAAATTTTCCATCACTGAATGATTTTCAACTCTTCAATCTGTGTTCTGTGACCCACCAAACTCTGCTGCATCTGAGTATATGTTGGTCAGAATACCTTATTCATCTTAATGTATCTCAAATCCGAGGCTTCTTTGATCGCACACTTCATTCAGCTTGAGAGCAAGCGAATAGTTCAACTTCATGGCACATGTAGTCCGATTGGGAACTACCCCAGCAGTCCTCTTTCGGATTTGTTGGACACGATTTTGGCTGTGCTTCTCGCTTTCTTTGTGCTCTACCAAGATTGGTTGACCTACAGTGCGGTCCTTGGGCGATACACCTTTGCAATAAATTGGCTATTCCATTTGATGTTTCGGTAGGCCAAAATTGGCACTACCAATGAAACCAATACCGTCAAAGCACATGGTTTTTCAGTTTTCTGGAGTGAACCTAATAACGACCGATAAAATAGTGCCAGTTCATCAGCAAGTAATACCCATGAGCAATCTATGGACACTTAGCTAGAGAACAACGACGGCGGAATTAGACAAAACTCGTTCTCGGATAGTGGTCACCGCATCTATCAGAAGTCATCGGCTCAGAAGAAGAGTATGAATAAACAACCAGGTGTTGGTTTTGATACCAAACAAATTAAATAGACTGAAACATCATTTTGTATATCCATATCGATTATCTAGAACCATGCAGAGTGAGATACCATAATGCTAGAGCATCACACAATCATCGCATCATCTAGGCAACCAACTGTGTAACTTCAAACAAATGATGATGAAGCTCCCAAATCGAAACCAGACGTGTCGATTCCAACCAACTGATCATTCCAGCATTTTAAGTGATTTTCTTCGGTCTCCTAGGGAAAATGCAGCAGTATCCAAGTCATAACTGTATCGGACCCTAACAACATGTAATTACAGATAAATCACAGTGGTGTGATGGAGTATTCGGAATTTACAGAACTTCTGGAACGTTGCAAGGTGTGGAAGGTAAGTCCGGGAATCTATTCAGCTACCGATTCTGGTGCCTTTTTGTGTTTGAGAATAAAAACTGGGAGATTTGCGGCACATTTTAACGTGCTCTAAACGTTGATGGACGCAATGTGTGTAAAAATTCTTATATAGTGAGCTCTATCCGGATAACATACTCTCCGATGCCAGAGTGGATGCTGTCGGGGAAATTTATTATTTTGCACAGTATTATATCTGAAAGATTGATATTAAGGAACTAGCCCTGAGAAAGCCAAAATCAGTTTCCTTGTGGCAATTAGTGTCGTTTAAGACTTACTCGAACTCTTATGACCACAATATTCATAATCGAATGTAGCACTAAGCTTTTCTAAACTATACTTACTTACAATTCGTCGACAGGGGACACAATACTATCGTTCTATCCTTTGTTATTTAAAAGTAAATACATCAGTCTTAGGGATCAACCGTGAAAATGTGCTTGCATAAATCTTTCGCGACTAACCACGTAATCCATTTTGAAACGTTTTCGTGCGCATCTGTTCTTCGATCTTGTTCGAATAATGCTTGCTACTCAATTACCATCATTCAGCTCATGCAGATTCTGTTGTAATTCATTCCGTGGTCTATAATATCGACGGGTTGTGTATCTAGATTTAAGAGAGGGGTCGTTAGATCTTCTCTTATTGCCTACTATACATATAAATCCGCGCACGTTATTTTATTTGGAACTGAAATCCCGTACACTTCTACATAACACTTTAACTTCTCCAGCAGATTTAGATAGACGTTTTCAAACTATATCCACATATATTGATTTATCAGTTATTGATCGTACATATCTTATTTTTTCTCCTTTTATCAGCAATCTGTTGATGCCAACATCAGTAGTATATCATATTTTAAACCCTTTACTATACATTATAAGAGATAAACCTCTTACCTAACTGACTATGCATTGGTTATTGGTATACTATGGATTACTAACGATAGCTCATTTTTGATCTAATACATGGAACTGAGTTCAAACACTCAATGTAGTCTCTTAAACCAGAACGTTGCTCCTTGATAACGGTCTTCCATCGACCGTCTGACATGAACAATAACCGGAAGTCAAACGCTGCCTTTCTATAAACATTTTCCGAAATAGGGAAAGTTTTTTGTCTCCCCCCCCCCCCCCCCGGAGGTACTCAACGCTAACCTACCAACACTGTCAACTTGTTTCTATCCCAAACTGACAGCATGCATTCCTGGAATTTAGTGATAAATCAGATGGCTTTATATCGGGAAGTTTTCTCCGTGACTGTTTGGCAACAGCAGGTGAGCAAGCACTTTCCGAGATATTCCCGAGTTCTATTTCACTAACACAGATTTTCAATTTTTTTTCGCTTTTCTCCCATAACCTCATATGCTCTTTAGTCACTGATAATGGACTTGATCGGGTATATGATTCTCCCCCATATCTATTTGACGGTGCGTTGGGAGAGGTACACAGTGAAGTCTAATCATCACGCTTTTTGTTGTTCAACGAGTTTCGTTTACGTTCCGTAATGCTATACAATCACCTTCTCTATTCAGTAAATTCCAAATGGTACATATATATCATACATAGTTGCTGTCTCTCTACTCATAACGTTAGCGAAGATTTTTCCCCGCCATTAAAACGCCGCAACCATCACTGATAAACTTTACTGGAGTCCAGGTTCAAACCACCTATGTAGTGCATTGAATTGCCTCAACAAATAACAACCCAAACAAAACTGTTTGTCTGATATGCCAACGGTCTATTACAAAATCGCCCATAGATATGACGCTGCTGCCAAGTAACCTTTTTTTCTTACTGAGGTTGATGTTCCTCCTTGTCTCTGCATTCTAGTGCTTATGATAGATGCCGTCGATTTCAATAGACTCAGTTGACGTATTAACTTACCACAAGAAGACGGTGGTTCATATTGCTCTCTATTTTAGTTTTTCCAAGTAATGTCAGACCAACATTTAGCTCCGCATTCTGTTTACAATTAGTCAATTTACCATTGATGAGGAAGAACGCTGCAGAGCACATAAAATAAAATATATAAGGGTGTGTAGTTTTCCTGGGTGATAAGGCCATCTCAGAAATCATCACTTAGGCAGTGATGAATGTGAGTCCATGCTCAGGCATAGCTGTAATTAATTTACAGAATGATGAAGCATGCTATACCGAAATTTTGAGTTTGTCTATCATCAACAATCACTTCGTTCAACGTAGTTCCTGTTCATGATGTAAAACCATGCGCAGATATATCCTCTCAGTAATTTACCCTTTAGTCACAGCTTGCTCTGGTTCGTGATCTTTGCGACCGGCAAGCCTTTGACAATATATTGTAAATGTTATTTCTAACTGATGATCACTTGGTTAGTTTTCTCACCCATGTAAGCTATAGAGTGACGACATTATGAAGTTCAATTACACAGCCTCCCTCACCGAAGTGAGAATTATTTCGAGGTGCGAAATTAGTGAGATTGTCTAATTATTGGTTAACGGTAGAATAAATCCAACCTTTTAAAATTGACATCTGTTGAGACATTCGCACGGCTTGAGTGTTCCACATCATTATCACTGTATTTCCAATGAACCTAGTAAAACGTTTATGAATTAATGATCCATTATTCACAATTAACCACACTGGACGCCGGTATCCTATCCGCCACTTGAAGGTGACCTCGATAACATACAAAGCTGCAGGCCGTTGGTTTGTCGTAACCAAAGACCGGCAGTCAAAGAAACTGGTGGGGAAATCCAGCGGCTAGACGACAATTTTCGGTAATATATGATGGAACCCGAAAAATAAATAAATAAGAGACACTAAAGTGCTCGGTCAAGCCCAACGCATGCCATAGCGCTCACCGGTCTAAACCAATTCGTCTTGTCGTTTCTATGTGGCATATCTTTACATATTTCTGCTGATTCATCGGTCGCTTATCCCCACCATTCCTTCAATCACCATCCATTCCACTGAACGTAGAAAGTCGAAGAATTTCATCTGGAGTTTTCTTCAATATATGATAATTTAGCGTGTTCTGTAGAAATCAAATGCTTCATATTTTTATACACGGTTGTAGGATGAACAGAAAAGCGGATAAAATAACGTTGTCATAATGATTTATCGCTCAGTTTCATAAACCGGTCACAAAAGTTTTGCTTTATAAGGAACCAACCAGATGAATTGAAGAAGCTCCATATGGAATCGGGCGAAACTGGATATCATTAAAATAGCGGTAGTAGGGTCATAGCTTAAAACCAAGGAACTCTAACGACCCACCTCAATCGACTGATACCCCTACCTGAATCGAGTTACTTTTCATTTTGGAGCAAGAGCTACGGCACTCAAAACCCAAAGAAATTATTGTATCCACCAAGCAGTGTGCTTAAGCTTCACGAAATAAAAACAACAAGACCGCAGAACGCACCCATAAATCAGGAGCGAGTGCCACATGGAATCCAACGTGGACCAATAAACAAGCTTCTGCATACGTATTTACAAGTATTGTAAGATGGCATATATATTTCCTGATGCTTTTGAAAATAACTCTTAGTTCCTGATTACAAATTCTCAAGCTGACCATTCAGTTTTCCCTTTAGAATTTTAAATCATGTTTTACCGGTCCCACCAGTTTGGGATTATGGTACACACGCGTTATTATTTAGCTAAGGCGATACAATAATGGCAGGTAAGGTATGACTTTATAACTTTATAAGGGACAGTACGAAGTAGTGATTTCGATAGATCTTTAACACTCAAAAAGATAACCCAATGAGGATTGTAAATAACGGTAGGACAACTGTTCATAATACGAGTTTTGTTTTAACCTGAGTCACTGATAGTACGGAAACAAAAGTGTCTCGACTCTGCAGCCTATAATCATTGACACACGTGCATTGCTGCACATAGTACACTCAAGAAAGGCATTTCCGTATAAACGCAATGAGGAAATTAGTCTTCGGACAAAAATATGCCACTCTTAGCCGCGTTATTGATCTACGGTTGCGATACTTACTTAGTGGGAGAGAAGTGGAGGAAAGAGAATTATCTGATCATTGGTCCATCCAAAAAACCCAAAGTTGACTGATGTGCCGGAGAAACAAGTAACTCCCTTAAACACTGACCAGGGTCATAGGTTCTAAAACGAAGACGATTGAAATGGTTTGGTCATGTTCTATTTCGTTCAACCGCGGAAGATGTGAGACAGTGTCTTCTCACCTTATTGTACCCAGACTGTCATCGTCGCTGTGGTAAACAGTTAGGAACGTAATTTGGTACCGTAAATAGCACGTTGGAGATCGAGGGCTCCTACTTGTCTGCCCTCTTCGCCAATAGAACCAGAGATGAGTTTCATCGATCTCTCCAGCGTTCGTCGGTCTTGGACCGCTTCTAATTGTGATATCCATACTTCCAGCTAGTCCAGATGAAGCACCCAACCACGTAAAATCAACCTAAGTACTCGTGAACCTGACTACGCGGATCGTTCAACCTGGAACTGGATTGGACAGCATGACAATTTTTGCCTTCGAATTCGAGGTTTAGAATCAAACGAGAATTGGATACGGAAGTCCTAATCCCGCGGGTGACAGGAAATATAATAAGCCACTAGATTATGGTAAGCTAACGTACAGAAAAAATTCATATGACCGATCAGATCACGACTCACTAAAATTATTGCGTACTTCATGCACCACAAAAAAAATCTATTCAAGTTTGCGCAAATTATGATGCTTCTTTATGTGAACGGACACGTACGATCCTAATTCACCACGATCCCGTATATGTTCACACAGGCTATGAACTCAGTAATCTGACATATCAACCTGTCGCACATCGGTACATACACCCGGACGATTCCGCTGTTTCATTCGAAGATTTCATCTTATGCATTGTCCGATTGAAAACCGCGTTTGACATTTTTGATGCACAACCCAAAAATCAGCGTCTCGAAGCAGTTTTCACGCGGGAAGATGTGAGTTTCTCGTTATCAGCCTATAGTGCTATGGTATACAAATATTGCCACCGCTTTTTTTTCAATAAAATGCCGTCGCATTCAGTGTTTACTATAGCTCTTTTGTTCCGACCAATGTGTATATCAGTGGAAAATCAGTAGTCCAACTTTCGGCTGGAGCTAAGGCCAACGAGTTTTGACTGCATCCGTTCGTCGGGTGCGCTTACAATTAACCTCTGCATTTTAGTTTGAATCGTGTACATTCTTGATTCAAGATTCCGGGAGTACGACTTCCATAGTCTGGGCCATCCTGCTTTAACGATTACTAAATTTACAGGATGGCTGTGGTGTACTCCTGTTTTAATTTTTATTTTATCACACTACAGTATCAAATGCGACAATTCTTCCAAACCAACATTGCGCCCTATGATTCTTGGAATTTCAGTGAATCCAAAATCACGATTAGGTTATGAAAGCTTGCACAGCAGAGAACGGAAAGAGCAGTGGAATCATTACATCCATGAGTTCAAAATTAAATGGTAGCGCACGAAGCAGTGATTCTCCTTCATTCTAACTCCTGAAACATCAAGGGCGAGAAACCACCAATCGATGGGTGATTTCTGCATACAACCAATAGGCTGAACAGATTATATTGTGATGTAGCATACGCGAACTTTCAGCCTTAAAGAAACGCTACTTACACACCAAGCGTTTCTGTATTCGTTTTCCTTCGTTTAATTAGATACGTGGCTGTTGAAACAATTTTCCCGCAGGGGAAAACGGTTAAGCCAAGAGCTCACATGCGATACAAAGAATTGGGGTAAGTAAGGTGGCAGAACGATAAGTCGGTGGAATCCACAGACGTCCAGCGGTGCTTAGCTTTGGCTTGCAAATCAAAACCAAAACAAGTGACCTGCAGTAGAACAAGCGAGATACCAGCATGGTTTTGGAATTACTCCTCTTATTACTCGAAGGCTGATTAGATTAAGTCGAGATTAACCTTTATTTTCGGTAATCTGTGCTCCGACGGGGTTGGCGGCTGCTCCAGATCAATAAAATGAAGATAAAGCTACACGTATATAATAATTCTTACACGAATGCTACCAAATCTGGACACAATCTTCTCATGGATCTTCGTGTGCATCAAGGATAAAACATAAATTACTTTCCATTGCGTAATGATTGTAATCGATCCCTATCGTTATTTCGGAAACATTGAACGTGATATTTAGTTGGCTCAGTCGTGCGACATAATGAGATGACAAACACTACAAAAGATGGATGTTATGGCGACTTTCAGTTGAAGCTTTAAAAACTTCAAGCAGCCGTGTGATGCCGGTAAAAACGAAATGAACAAACATTCTTTTTAACTTTTTGCATTTTAATGTCAACCATTAGGAAGAGCCTGAGTTACGAATTAATGGAAGCACAGCAAAATTTTATTTTATTCTCTTGGATTCGGGTTACATAACATTTAACTTAAGTGACTATTTCATCACTCTTGGATATTCTTTCTTTCAATTTGTTTCACTACGATCATGGAACAAAAGTAGTACTCCTAAATAATAATTATCTTTAACTAAGGTCCTTAGCCCCAAAACGAACAATGTACCTGAAAAACATTTAAACAAGATTTAGTCAATTGCATATTGCCAGTGGGAACCAAGCATAGGATAGTCTAATAACGAATCCCATGCTAGGTCATTTTTCTCTTACCTAATTCGTAAAGTTTTGTTTTAGCTTTGAAACTGAACACCATCCATTAAAATGGTCGATGCTCAAAGTAATTAACTATTGAACCACATCAAACACTNAAACACTTTCTATCTATCTCACAAATCCTGTCTTCCCACCCGTTCACCCACCCACTCATTCCCGTTTGAACGCAGTACATACGATTGGCGGCGTATATGTGAGTGCAACAGGCCGGATCGCATCTATCCGAGGTTTGTGTTACACCAATCAAGACTCAAGGCAAGCTACCTACGTCAAAGTTGGCTCCCTGAATTATACAACACAGATGGAAATGCTAGATGGATTAGTTTGCAGTCTCCTCATTCAGTCATAGCAACGATAAAGAGAAAACCGTTGACCAAATTCCCTATAGTACTGTTTTTAAAGTAATAAAAACCCTTCATTGGATGATAAAATGTGAATAAAATACTAGTTTATGCATTCTGAACGTAGTAAAAGTGCAAGGGGATGGGTTACACTCGACTCAAATTGCATATCTCTTAGTCAAATGACAAACCCCTGTCACTGAATTTGTTGTGAAAAAATAACGATTCAACAGCGAACAGGACAATGCTGGTTGAGAAACGATAGTCTCTATGTTCTCCCGTTTCAGTGAAAAAATACGGAAAAAGGACCAGCGCGCGACGGACACTAGCTGACGTCGGAGACCTTGGAGGAGTGAAAAAAAGATTTGACGGAAGCCATTGAGAATAAAAAAGTGAATGAAATTGATTAGAAAGTGAATTACAAATATTCCATAGTTTGACAAAATTTGAGTGTGGTGCCCTCAATCCAAAAGAATGGGAACATCAAAACACAAGATTTCGGTGATAACGGTGAAAACACGTGCACCCACATCTCCCTTAATGTGTAAGAGTTACGCGGTGAACTTCCCTGTTGTAAAGCCCACAAATGTGATAGGCCAGTTTACTTGACTTGAGAAACGCCTTCGAAGATGTTTGAAATATGGTTACCGAAAATCCATATATTTTTGGTTTTTCACCGTGGTCAAACCAAATACAAACGACCGAAAACAACAGTTTCGACAAAACTATCAGTATCGTCGGGAGAAAACGAAAAATATTCATTTATCTCTACAGTTTTTATTGTTAATCAAATTACTTCACGTGATGATTGTTATGAAATCAACAGCCAAAGTTCAATGTGATTAGAAAACAATACAGTGCCACTGTGTCGTAAACAGTGGCGCTCTTGTACCTCAATTTATTGCATCCTTAGTCTGCTGAAATCGTTCATTTTCCGCTGGGCTCTACTTTCAACCTTCCAATCTTTTTTCAGCTTTTCGATATATTGCATAACACACTTACATATATAATTCGATTAGTCAGTGTATTAATACAAGACCTAAGGTGACTTTGCCTGTGTGCAAAATGTGGGGTTGACAACAACGATAATCGGATAAGTGAACGCAGGAGTAAATTATGTGAATTGTACACAATATGAAAGGTTAGTCAAGAATGAATGAAACAGATGTAAAGAGTGAGAAAAAGACGAAGATGGACCATTGAGGAACATAATTGACAGCCTAGATCTATACACCAGGTACACGGATGATACGTTCACCATTTGTGACTACCGAACGGACATTGATAATTTACTTCAAGTATTTAACAACGCCCATATGGGTATACGATTTACAATGGAAATAGGAAAAGACAACTTCGCCTTTCTGAACATTAGTCTTCATCGTACAGAGGGTGGCCATGCCGAAAGAAGAGGATACCGTAAGCGCACGTGAGTAGAACAAAACACATTTTCAAAGTTTCCTCCCACTGATATACAAAGGTAGTTAGTGAACTTTCTAGCATACAGGGCCAAGAGCATTTGTGGTTCGGATGCTCTGAACGACGAGTTGACCTATATAAGAGACATCCTCAGGGAAAACGGATACCCAGAGGCGTTTGTTCGACGACGTATGGAATCAAAACCAAAAGGTGAAAAAGCACAACTAAGTCCAAGAATGCCTACAGCTCAATGTACTTCTACGGAGTGCATACCATAGACCACTGATCAATTACCCGGAGGCCTGGAGGATTTCACATCAATTCGGAAAACGAATGGTGCACATGATAATTTCGGACGCCCACAGACGCCAAGTACAAGGAGTTTATAAACCAAGCGCAGGAGGTCTGTCGAACCACACTGAGCGAACAACAGATAGAACAGCTGGAAGATGCAATAATTCGACGTGTCAAAAATGTCAAAAGAAAAAGAAACCCCACAAGCTGGATGATCACGTGCTAATCAATGAAAATGAAAACTGGGTACGCAATTTCTCCAATCGAGTGGTAACAGGATGAAAAACGAATCCTCATTAAAGGACTTAACTTCAACGTCAGAAATGCCACAAACGAGGGATATTTGGCGGAACTGGAACAATCGTCCACGATACCTGATGCGAAAAGAAAATCCCAGCATGCTATCAAACCGCGAGGACAAAGCACTCAAAATGCTGGAGATAAAGAAAAATATTGTTATCCCTCCACCAGATAAAGGACGAATTATTGCGGCTAGGCACAAAACTGACTGCATTCAAAAGACCAAAGAGCTGCTCCAAGACACAAACACCTACCGCAGAATGGACACGGACCCCAAAGCAAAATTGGAAAACTAAATCAACAATACATTGAAACGACTGGAAGAACTGCATCAAATAACCAAAGGGGAGCACTGGAGAATCAGAGACAAAAACTCCGTTATCCCACAATTCTACGGACTGCCGACGATACACAAGAAAGGAATTACCCTGAAGCCGATCGTCCCCCTTCCAGGTACGGCTACAAACAAATTAGCAAAAGAATTATGGAAACGACCGAAGCCGCTCATCGATGGACACGAGTATAGCGTCATCAACTCAAGGCAACTCCTGAACTAACTCAAAACTGTCAACATCCAAGAAGACGAAATAATGGTATCGTTCAACGTCACCACTTTGTTCACTTCGACTCACTTAGACCTGGCAAGATCCACCTTGCGATAATTGATAACTGAGCATCCATCAAGCCAACCAATAGAACCAGTTGTCATTTGCAAACTCATGGAACCGTGCATGCAGGCGTACTTTAAATTCGAGAGTGGAGTCTGCGAACAGCTGAAAGAAACAGCAATGGGATCACCAATTTCCGGATTCATGGCCGAAGCCGTAATGCAAAAGCTGGAGAAGGAGGTACCATTAGGAATCATGCCACAACTTTGGTTCCGATACCTTCATGATACATTCGTCATCGTAAACAAGTTGGAACTAGAAGGAACACACAAAATCATCAATAACACATTCAATGGCATCAAGTTCACAATGGAGACTGAAAAGGATGAACAACTGGCATTTTTGGATACCTTGATTGTCAGAACGCCATCAGGAAAACTGGAGACAACGGTATACCGTAAGGCAACATATACGGATCAAAACCTAAACTTCAAAAGTAATCATCTACACAGACACAAGAGGTGCTGTGTTAGAACCCTGTTCGGAAGAATCCAAACGCACTGAAGCACCGACATACTCAAGAAGAAAGATACTTCCTCAAAGTGTTTGCTCGTAATGGCTATCTCCGCAGCTTTATCAAAAGAACTCTGGCTCAACGAACGAAGGAAACAACATACGGAGACTCGAGAACAAGAACAACCCCGACGTACTTCAGGGACGTTTCGGAAACGACAGCAGGACTGCACAGATCATATGGAATCCAAGTTGCCCACAAACCAATCGCCTGTTTAAGGGGATTTGTCAAAACCAAAGAAGGGAAAAATAGAGAAAGACAAAAGCAGTGTTATCTACAAAATAAACTACAAGAACTGCCCAAAACATTATATCGGAAAAAATGGAAGAAAACTGTGAACAAGGATCCGTGAACACCAATCGGCAGTCAGGAGACATGACCCACTATCGTTGAGTTCCCTCCACGAAGATCAAGGACATTAATTTGACTTTAAATCACTGAAAATTATCGACCAAGCCCGGTCAAAACACGCCAGAGAATTTCTTAAGGCTGGGAACTTTGCAATCAACTCAATAAATAGGCACATCGAACTGGATCACGTGTACACGCCAATGCAACTCAAGGATCAAATAGCGCAACAAAAACAGGTCGCCGTGACCGGAGAACGGACTGAAACCGCAATCGGGACGAGAGGACAACCACCGCCCCTCTCACCAGTTTAACGGCGAACCGAGTCGAACACAGTGAGAACAGGGGACGGAAATAATCGGTGGAGAAGAACAAATATGTAAACGAAGGGGTACAAGCATAACACTGCCATTTCACAAGCACTGATGATGTCATCTCGGCTGCTGATGAAACGTTTGCAAACAAGTTGCCAAGCTCGGCGAACAGGTGGAATGAAATTCAGTGCACCCGAGCTACGAGAACCGATTTTCAATAATTTGTCAGAAGGGTGTTTGTCAACGTTCCTTTCAAGGTAGACAGGTTATTAGAAATCCTGGATTATCGGTTATCCAAAACCATTGCCAACTGTTTTCCCGCGGCGCATTTAATACTATGTTTGAGGATTTTGGTCATTCATTGTTTAACAGTTTAGGGACAAATTACCTCACCAGTCCCAATCCTTTGTGCTATATCAACTTACGTGCACTTGTAGTGTTCCCTATATCGGACGCCATGGAGAGTGCGTTCAAGAGAATATCAGAACACTGTCCAGTCTCTTTTCGAAAAAGAACAGTAAGAAGCTTGAGCAGTTCAATACTGCAAAATTTGGCCGAGAGTGGACACAAGATGGGCCACCATTTACAAGTTTCTCCCTGCACCTAAGATCCACACCAAAGGACTACGTAAAATCCTGACAACTGGTGAGGTCATAGTAATTAGGATTATGAAGCCGGATTTGTGCAAGCAACGTAATCTGATTCAAGCGTTGATACAACCATGGCCATATGACCACGTGACGCTCCCCTTCACTCCTCATTTACTGTCATTTTCTCACACTTCACGCATATTTCATTCGTTCTTTACCAACACCTTTCATATCATTTCCACTTCATACATTTTCCCCGGCTTTTCCCTATCCAATTATCGCGACCCCGTAGCTTTTGTTCGACCGAACCTTTCTCAGACACATTCATTCAATACCAGCTTAGGCCTGACTAACCTTTCTTTTACCCCTTGATCCAAACGGGAGCTGAAAGACAGCAACTAAAACCAGCGCAGGAAAGTGCATGATTATTGGTTGTACAAACTGAAACTGAACAGCACTAACTTTACAACAAATTACTCGAGATCGCGAACAGTTATTTAGCAGACCAGTACACATCGCGAATCCGTCATAACTCACCTGCATTCTGCATTTCCCTCTTGGATTATAACACTAAATTGTGAATGCCGTGAGCTTCGCCATACCCAAACATTTTATTTCTAAACAATTTTTATCATCCTGTGTTCACTGGTATAATCTTTTGAAACAATATGTATTATAATGCGAATTGAGTGAAATTAATGATATACCGAACTGAGTTCCATGGAAGTTTATTGTGTTGGTAACACTGAGCACCGTCTGTCCCACAGTATTCCACCATTTTTAAGTATTCATTTTTTCACATTCAGAATAGAAAACGAGTTCTTCCGAATAAAATCCCGAAATTCTACAATACCTAATCATTATCTACGTGTCAGTTCTTGGTTACCATACAACAATGGAGTTTGGTAAGTTATGCAGTTTCTAATCAGTTCAATGTGCACGACAAAGTTTGTGATATACTAATACCATCCAAGATGGTTGAGACGTGGATCACGGTAGGTGCTGAGAACGACAGGTCTTCCTAGTGTATCGAGCTTTGTTTTTGTTCCACAAAATCATGCAGTGCGTTTCTTAAACCAGCTGATGAAGAAACCCTACTCAGAGTGAACTATAAGGATATTTTCACAAAGGCCAGAAGAGAAAATCCAATATACGAGGCTGTCGCCAGGTTCATAATTCAAAACGAAGTTTACGAACTGGTTCCATAATATCCTGGCCGCAAAAACCGGTCCATTGTGGAAATAGGCAGTACTGTCTATCTTAAGCATGCGAACCACGTCCCAAGGAAGTGAAATCCTACTGACTTTCGATGGCCAATGTATCACTAGTTTGATCTAACGCCTTGTTACCGTTTGAGTTAGACTTTGGCTAACCGAGGGCTCCAAACGATAACGAAAATAAACGCTGTGGTTCAAGCAACTTGACTCTAGTGTACCGGAAGACTAATAATTGATTGATTGTAAGGCAAATTGTTGTGTAAATGATGAATAAACTGAAAACTTAAGAAGTAATAGACAGATTCTTTGACTTGGTTAGGCTTCATCGCCAGTGCTAATACTCCGACGCCATTATGGATCGAACCCGGGCCTTCACAGGTAGAACGTAAGCATACTACCCACTTGACCACCGAGAAGCTGATCAAATCTTTTTCACGTTGCCTTTGCGCGATGTACAAAAACCTATATTTGAGGGCTTAATGTAGTCTCCGCACGGCGCGCATCTCAGCCATCCATTGATTCCCAGCTTTTCAGTTAACACTTCATTTACCATTTAATCAAACCGAAATCCTTTACTAGTCTCATATTCCACGATGGATGTTTTGGTTACAAAGATGGTCGTAATACGTAGACAAATGGTATATATATATATAGATATGGATACCTTAGTGTATAAAGCTACGCAATGGATTTATTGTCACATCTTCACGAAGCTGTGAGCCACTTCATCTGGAGGAGCTGAAGGTAACAAGCCGCTCGATAATGAATGGAGAACAAAACTATGTGCCAAGCAATGAAACAGTAACTAATTGAGTATTAAGATGAAAGACGAATTAGGTAGTCAAATCAATGTCAAAATGTGATTCTCTTCTTCTCCCGTAGAACGAACTTCGAAGCAACGAAATTCACACAGATGGAGCCTTCTCCAAAAGTTTCCATGCCATCTCATTCTCATGGAACCGTTCCAGTACACGCAAGAAATATCGATAACGGGAAAGATGTTTTCGACTTTCAGTCCATTTTCGATTAACCAGTAAAGAGGCAACATGCTCTTCTTCGATATTAGCGCGCTCGGACACCTGCCGAAAGAGCGGGACCACAAGATTCTTGATATTGAGGGGTACTTCCGAATCCCTCGGAATGTTGTCTAGATCATTGAGCAAGCGTTCCACTTCTTCGTTTAGCTCCATTATTTCGAACAAGAATTCGGGATCTTGTACGTCAGTTTCTGTTTGTTCAGGACAATACAAGGATAAAATATATTCAAAACGATCTACCGAAGTAGCCAATGTAGAGTACGCTTTATTGATTGCCGAGGATGCATCAGCCGCCAAAGACTGCTCGTACGTAGAGAGGCGGGNGCTGAGCAGCACGCATTCGATTGGACAATTCAGTAGGGTCTACACGCGTCACATAGTCCGGATAACCAAGTAAATTGAAATAGGTTGTAGTATTCTGGATCGGTTGGATTTTTCCACATGTACAAAAGTATTCGTTCGGACGGATTGTTTTTTTACAATTCCAACAACACTGATCAGAAATATTTCTCATCGTGTGCTTTGATGTTGAATCGCAGAAACGAAAAGCTGAACAAGAAAAAGTACGCGGCTGTGAGAAATGTTTCCGGGCTCTATTCTCCAGAGGATTCACAAAGGCAGATTTGTGTATGTGTGGAATAGAGAGCTGATATGGACGTGGGATGACTGGAAAAAATCCACTGCGCAGAGTATGCATGATTGAAGTATGTCACATTAGAAATTCACGAGTATTGCACTGAAAAAAGATTTGAAAACACAGGTTAGAATTTTTCATTGTGATTAAACATCCAAAACAATAGCAGGGGTAACGAGTCTATCATAATTCGCATAGTTTATATATATATATATATATATATATATATATATATGATGTTCAGGTGTTCGCCGAGCTTGGCAATTGTATTGCAT